CGGAGGAGCAGCAAGAAGGGATGGTAGCAATAGGAAGATGAGGAGGAGCAGCAAGAAGTGACGGTAGTAATAGGAAGATGAGGAGGAGCAGCAAGAAAAGACTAGAAAAAAGTCACATTTAAAAGAAACATAATTGTACATATGTATAATTTTACACACATTCATACATTTTATAAAGCTTAAACTATGAGTTTTTGAATCCTAAAACAGCAACATACAATAGAAGGATGCGGAAGGACAAAAAGAAGTCATATTTAAAAGGAAGGTGCGGAAGAATAATAAGAAGAGACTTTAGAAGTAAGTCATATTTATAAAAAAAATTACGTATAATTGTTACATACATTTATACAGTTTGTAGAGCTTCAAAATTAAGTTTTTAGATAGGAAATATCAACACAATATACAATAGGAAGATGCGGAGGAAATGCTTTAAGGAAGAAAGGCCGTATAAATATAAGCATTATTACGTATAATTTACATGCATTTATACAGTTTATAAATTTGAAATTCAAATTTATGTTGTATAAAGTTTAAGTGTGTAATGAGAAGATGGGAAGGAGCAAAAGGGAGGTGAGAAGTAAAGATTTTATTACACTTCACCCCCTCTTATCACCTTATTATAGTTTGGTGGAATGGAAGCTTTAAAAATGGGATTCCATGATGAAGAAGAAACGAGATGCCATAAAAATAATCTCGAGACTCATTACACTTGATATGTTTCATGTATTTTTTAATACAATTAAATAAAATTAATTGATTTTTTTAAGGTGGGATTCTATGCTAAATATAATATAATTTAAACATTTAAACATAGGAGCAATTAAAATTAGAAAAGCTGCAGTCAATACGGTAGCATCGTGTACTTTGATATATGTGGTGTAATTAATATGCTAATGCTGTGTCTGTGTGTGTGTCTGTGCGTTGTCGTGCACGGAATGAAAAAACACAGTTAATTATCGACCAACAATCGTAAAAATTGGTTCGTATTTCGAATTGAAACGCAAGTAAATTAATGCTATTACAGTAATAAAAACTGTAATAGGTGCAAAAGAGTGGGCGCGGTGACCTATACATCGTCACGTGATTCGTTCTCGGGGAAACCCCGTGACGAAACAGATGATTCGATTAGAAATTTTAAACGAAACACACAGGGCATTGACACTACTTAAAACACGTAAAAACTGTTGCAGAAACTGTAATTATTCTACTTTGATCGCCCAAATTTTGACCCCCTCTACTATTATTTTTTTGTTTTTGAACGTGGTTAAAAAATTATTTAATTAAAAAAAGAAAGAAAATTTAGAACAAAACAGTTGTAAAATTTCTTAACATTTGTGATGAAGAAACACTCCAGAAGTAATTGTTACACTCCACCTTAACATTTTATAGGGGGGAAAGTAAAAAAAATGGCGTAAAAAATAGGAAATTATCGACCTAATCAATCTCCTGCTAGAAAACAAGATTAAATTTTAAACAATAAATAAACTTCAACTAGTTAAACTCTGTAAAAGGGGGGAGGAATAGCCAGCAAGATGCTGTGAAAGAAGAGAATGTAATTAACTAAGTAATTAAGAAATATAATAAAAGCATTTTTCTTATCTTTACTGAAGGAGACAATGTTAGGGAGATGCTGTATACAAAAACAAAACATGGTAATGTATAATTTTACATAAGTTTACACAGTTTATAAAGCTTAAAATTTGATTTTTTTGGGGTGTGAAACTGCAGTATACAATACGAAGATGAAGAGGAGCAGCAAGAAGTGACGGTAATAATAGGAAGGTGAGGAGGAGCAGCAAGAAGTGACGGTAGTAATAGAAAGGTGAGGAGGAGCAGCAAGAAGTGACGGTAGCAATAGGAAGATGAGGAGGAGCAGCAAGAAGTGACGGTAGCAATAGGAAGGTGAGGAGGAGCAGCAAGAAGTGACGGTAG